CTCCACAATCTGAACAACCTTCCTTGGCTGACTCCTCAGGAGCTGAAGCTGGAAGGGCATATGGACCTTCGGAGGTATGATGGCTTGACATGGTGGTAGACCAATTTGGCAAGTGAACTCACGATAGGGTGGACAATAAAGTCTGGGTTGTGAAGCTGGTTCCCTTTCAGTTTATGATGGCGACCCAAATTCTGCAGAACCTGAGGCCGTTGTGAGCCACCTAGAATGTGGACTGGACCTATCTGCAGGTAAGCAAGTCTATCAGGCTTGACCCCCAGTTTGATGGCACTGCAAAATCATGTAACCATAAGTACTGGTCAGTACTCAGGTCGTCAATGACAGTATGTGCAAGCTCTCCAAGAGTGAAGGGCCAACTGTGATTTTTTCAGCTTCGGTTGCTTCTAACTCAGTGGCAGAGTCCAGCATCTTGCCAAGACGACCAGACCATCTGTTGTTTGAAAGAGTCTTGCCATCCAGCTCCTGGATCAGATGTCTGAGTGGCAACTCGTTGGTGTAGAGGTCACAAACAATCCAGACCAGCTTCCTCCCAATCTTCCGCTCTATCCACTGTATGACCCCCCCTTGCCACCCTGTGTTCGTGTTGGTGCTGTCCCCTCCAATGGCCTGCAGGGTCTGGTCTACGTTCCTCTCTCTGAGCCAGTTCACAATGTTATCTGCCACTATCTCAGCTGGTTTCCTGATGTCATCTTTCTCTGGAGTGAAATGCCACAAATACTTTCCCTCCTGGTTCACTGCAGCAGGGAGTAGTGTTCCTCCTTCACCATGGCAGGGAACAACTTGTCAGAATCTCCAACTTTCATGAACACTTTAGTGTCATCCCTTCTCCCATCAAAGAACAAACAATTGATTCCATTTTCTCTTATCCCTTATCAAACTCCTCTTCTAGGTTACTGACAAGTTTCTCCTGAGCTCTCCTTACTTTGTTATGATCTATCACCAGGTGAACATCATCAGGTGTTATCAAACCACCGTCAATCCAGGCAGCTGTTGCTATCTCTGCAGTTTCTCTGAGACCAGTGTGGTGTCGCATGCTGGCCAGAGCTATGCTCAGGATATCTTTCCTATTTCGAATCTTATGCCTGGAAGGTTTGGGATCATTATTTTCTGGGTTAGGGACAAAGTCACCATTCTCCTGGTCAGCACTCGGATCAGCCATGGGGAAGTCATTAAACTCTGAATCAGCTTGACTCCAATCATCGGCCTTTTTTACCTCACCCTGGGCCTTCTCAAGTCTCTTTTCCTCGGCAACTCTTCTCCTCTTCTGTCTCTCTGTGGCAGCCTCCTGTCTCTTGGACTCCGGAATATCTTGGCTAGAAATCATGAGAGCCCCTATACTGCCAGTCTTCTCTCTCTGTGCTTTGACAAATGCCAGTTCGATCACAGGAATCTTCAGTTCACGCTTGCAAATACAGGAGATGTGGGCCTCGGATTTACAGTCACGATCGCATCCAAACTCAGGACAGAGAACAATTGGGCACTTGCAAGTAATTATGTCAAATAACTGGTCCAGTTGCTTGGCAAAGCTGTCCTTAACTGCAAGTTTTCCTCTCCCAAGAGAGATATCTCTTGCCTTTTCCCAACTGGCTAGCAGTCTCTCACTAATCTCCTTCTGACTTGTTATGACTGGAGGCTTGAACTGAGCGTTAGCCAGAGTGTACTGTGCCAAGACAGCTTTGGTCATATCACTGGCAATGTCTTTGTTTGTGTAAGTTCTTTGGTTCTTTTCACTGATTTGCCTGATTAAAACACCGTATCTCAAAGCATCTCTCAATGTAGGCAATTCCGACTTCAGGAGCTCTCTCCCAGACCCAAGATAGTGACTGAGATGGCTGGATTTTTGGTTCCTCGTCCTGACACAAGCAGCCATCGCAAATATTATCAACTTATAAATGCATCAGAATCTGAAACAGAAAAAAATATTGTTAGTTGGGTTGTTAAAGAATGAAGTCAGAAAGCAATGTTCACTATTTAATTGCAATGCACTAATGCAGCTGTACGTTAGATTTTCGATAAATTTCACGCTAAAATTTACCTAGCAAAAGGTTGCAAAATATTGAAACTGAAATTATTTTCTGTTTATATACACTAAAATCGACCAAAAAAGTGATGGGCCATTAGTTTTAGCTGATCTTCCCTCCTATGACACACCCTACTGGGCATGCACCGGCTCCTGAATGTACCTGAACCCGCTCCAGTGTTGGTCAATTCTTCTCTTGAAAGAGCTCACACTTGGTGCCGTCACAACACTCTCTGGTAGATTGTTCCAAGAGTTTACAACCCTCACTCCGAAAAAGTTTGCCTCACGGTTTTCTGGACTTGCGGCTTCTTCAATCTTGAGCTGTGACCCCTTGTGGGGCGAGCGTCCGCCAGCTCCAAGTAAGGACACTCAACTGAGTAGTGCCCCTTGAGATGCTTATACACCTCAACTAGGTCCTACCTTGCCCGTCTGTAGTATAAGCTTGGCAAGTTCAGGCGCTCCAATCTCTCAGGGTAGCTGAGGTGCCGAAGCTTTAAACATTGGATCTTGAACATTCCAACTGTAATCAGACATATCTAAGTTGCCTCAACAATTGCAACCCCAGTTGCAATATCAAATTCTGTGTCATTACTAAGGAATAACGAAGTGTCTGGTGCACTGCACTTTAAGATTAATTGAAAACGGAGGACTCAGGCGTCCTGAAGTGAGAGAAAATGGACTTCTATGACAGGGCACTCAAATAAAGAAACACATGTTTTGTGGACTACCCACTGTACAGTACAGGTTGACAATCCTTTATCCGAAATCCTTAGGGCCAGAGGCATTTCGGTTTTCAGAATGGTTAGGGTTTTTTTTCTTTTTCTTTTGTGTATTAGCCCACCCGGGCATAGATCACTGACCCACATTGGGGCCTGGGGGTATAAAATATAATAAAAATTATAATAATAATAATAATTCATAGGTCTAAGTCGTGTTTCTCACTTTTGATCTTTTTTTCATTCATGTACCTGTATTTCTTTACTGTATTATTATTTTATTATTACAGTATTATTGTTATTATTATTATTAATTTTATTATTATATTTTATTATTATTATTATCATTATTATTAATAATAATATTATTATTGTAATCATTATTACAGGTTGACTATCAAAAATCCGGCAACCTCGGGACCTGAGGAGTGCTGGATTTTCGAAAATGCCGGAAAACTGATGGGTTATATTTGCTGTATAAGTTTAACAGAAAATGACTACCTGTACAGGCCTTTAAAAAAAAGAAAATTAAACACTATATAGCAGCAATTAAATGATAAAATCAGAAGGAATGAGCATGAATGCTTGTTAGCAGGTGCAAGCAAGACCCAACAGCTGATTCTGGAGTACAGCGCTATCAAAACATAAACAGCGCGTCCAGAAAACAATGGTGCGCCAAGGCAGGAAATTTGAAAATGCGCTCCGAAATCAATGCCGGAAAACTGAAGTTTCCTGTTTATCGATTGGCGGATTTTTGATGGTCAACCTGTATTTTATTTTGGTGTATTTTTATTAAAAATTTTATTTACTATAATTATTATTATTATAATTATTATTACTATTACATTTTCGCCCCCCAGGCCCCGATGTGGGTCAGTGATCTGTGCCTGGGTGGGCTAATAATCCGTTAAAAAAAAAAAAAAAAGTCCCACAAAAAACTTTCGGTGTTTAGAGCTTTTCGGTTTTCAGAAATTCGGATAAAGGGTTTTCAACCTGTATTGTGCGTATCCTTTTCATCACTTTGTTATAAACCTAGCTATGCCTGTGTGTGTGATATTTACCATAACATTATATATATGTATTTAGTGGGTCTAAATGGTTGTAAAATGGGAAACTTGGGGTTGGGCCTTGTGTGCCTGGAACCAATTAGAATAAATCCCATAGGTTTTGTACTTTCGGACGACGTCCATTTCAGTTAACGTCACGTTTCCAAGAACACATCTAGGACATTA